TTGCCCACAGCGGTGCATGCCAGAAGCCACGCAGGGGTGCAGCATCTCGTGAAATGGCGCACTGGTGCTCATGGGTGTCCCGCCTCCCTTGTGCGACGCGCTGCAATCCGGGCCACGAACGATTATGGACCCTGTTGCTCATCCACTTCTTTCAAGGCCGCCCATGCATCATGTATGCACACCCCACGCAGGAGCGGCTGGCATATACAAGTTGTGAGGTGGGTGGTGATTGGTGCGGCTTGGACAAAAGGATGCTTTGAACGGTCAGGAGGGCCGAACCAAGTCTTGCCATTATGACATGCACGATAGCTGTTGAGGGCGTGCATATGTATTCTCTTGCTGGCACCTTAAACTTCTCTGCACAGCAAACTTGTAATGTGCTGCTACTTCACAAACAGAATGCAATGCTTTTATGTGTGGTCTTGACTTCACGCAACAACCCACACCCACAGGATTTTGACCAGCCCGCCGGCGCTCATGAAATATATGCGGCATCTCAAAGGCTGCGAGAAGTGTGCAGCAAACACCTTTTGGCCGAGCATATAAATTATACTTGAGCATATAATTTATGCACGGCCGTGCATTTTCAACATTAGTGTGTGGGAACCTTGGCTTTGTGCACATCGTGATTTTCTTGCTTGCAATTTGATGCTGTCGTGATCCAAATGTACCGAGCCGCAACGTACACATTTCTCAACAAGAATCATTATTGATTGCATGAGTGCGCACGCCCTGTTGCGGCAGTCACATGCGCATGTGTTTGGCGCGCCGCCCCTGCATGCTTCTCCTTTGCAGCGGCCCCGTGGCGGCTTCGCGCAAGGCGCTACGGGATGGACCTCCAACTTATTCACGCGCATTTATGTTGTATCTGAGCTTTGTCTATGTGTAACTACCACAACACTGGCACCATCAATGATAATGCTAGTCAATGAGTCAAGCAGGTCCCTGACAGCGCCATGACTCGTGGGTATAAAACACCAGCCTCGTCGGTGTAAAACACCGACTGGTGTAATACACGGCGCGTTGCCGTGTAAAACACCGCCGGTGTGACCACGGTGTAAAACACCACAAGGCAGTGGTGTATTCACCACCGGTGAAAAAAAGTGTGTAAACACCGGGGAACTATGGTGTGGTATAGCTGTCGGTGTGTACACCAGGTGAATTCACCGGGATTTCTTTTGGAGACGCGTGCAGGACTGCGGCGCGGCATTGTACGGTATCAGCCACGCCACGTTCCTGTTCCCGTTTGTTTGTGCTCGATGCCTTGTGTATAGCACAATATGCCTTTGCCCCTTTGCTCAGGGGACCTTTACCGACCACGAGGTCCTGCCCCACTGGCCAGCCGCAGCAAGAAGGGCCACGCATGGCATCGTGGTGGCGGCACTGGCAGCCCATGACCGGGGCCTGGTGCCGCTGCAGATGGCGCCGATCTTCAATTTGAAATGCACAAAGTGATATTCTTAGAGGGACAACGCTGCTACTCGTGATCACCGAAGCCTGCCAAGCAGCAATGCTGCCTGCTAGTAGTTGCTGCAGCTGCTTATTGCCAACACGGCCCCAGCCAGGCCAAGCCTCCGGGCCCCCATGCCTACTCGTTTCATCGCCGAATCGCACCGCACAGTCGCCCCCTCCCCCTCGCCATGTGCCAACGCCTGGCTCACCGTGTTGCACACTCTGCCATAGTGTGTCCATAAGTACAGAGGGGTCACCATTGATGTTTCCTTTCAAGCACAACGCAAGCGCCCTGGCGCAGCTGGGCGGCCACTTGGCGATTTGAAACGCTCCAGCTTTGATCTGGCCTTTGAAGAGCATGCTGCCCGTGCCGTCGTTGCCACACATCACTGGTGATTGGGTGCACGGGTGGGCTGGAGGGGTTGCGGGTGTATCGAGGGTGTTTGCAACTTGGGTGGGTTGGCTGGCGACGGGTTCAAGCACAGTATGTGGGGGTGGGGGGTGGGGTCGGTGGGGGCAGCTTTGGGTGCACGTTTGGGTCAAGTTGAAGGCTCTTCAAGCAAGTTGCTGGTTGCGTAACAAAGCCTGGGTCCTCGGCGCACTATGAGGGCAGGCTCGGCCGTCGGCTTTGCCCGACCGGCTTCAGGCGCCTATACAGTCTTCCCCCACTACAGTGAACCCATCGGGGGTCGGCGGCACGTTTGCTATAGCTGGCTTGTTCGCTACACATCGCGAATAGTGAAATTTGGCAGCTGCTGGTTCGCTGTGGCGGGGGACGTCACAACATTCAGCATCGGATGGCTGCTTTGCACTTTATGCCAACAGCCACATATCAAGCAAGTATTGTTTACCAGAATCAACTCAATGGGGCCAAAGGGGTGGTAGGGGGTATGGTGCTTATGCAGGAGCTGATGGCTGCCTGCATGCACGTGGCCTACACGTGGCGGCTGGGCCCCATGCAGTCCCATAGGCGCCGACCACAGCGCGCCTGCATACAGTGAATCTGAGAGGCCTTTGGCGTTCGCTATAGCCGTAGTGAATATTCGCTGTGGCGGGGTGGGTTTGTGTGGCAAACAATCGGGGGTAGCGGCGGCGTTCGCTGTAAGCAGGGTTTTCGCCATGGCGGGGTTCGCTGTAGCGGGGGAAGACTGTACAATCCAGTACGGTACTAATGCTACACACAGCAAATGACGTGGTCTTCTGCATGCGCCAGCAGCTGAGGCCACTGGCAGCACATATTGATAATTTTTAATCATTAGTTTTGGCCCAAGGTAGGCCCTACCGGTTCTCGCCGGGCGAGAACGGCCAAGGGTGGAGGAGGGGGGGACGCCTGCATGGGGTTGGGTTCTGAATCAAGCACAAAATCAAAACACTTAACGTCCCTCAGCAACACACCGCTCATGTTTCATGATGGCTGTCCGCCCTTCACGCTAACGCGACTGCAGTTTGGGCACTGGTATGCAGTCAAGCGGCGCAACAGCACAGTTGGGCGGGTGCCTCTTGCCCTGCGCTTTACGCGCCCTTTTGTTTTTGCTTATCGGCTGTCCGCCCTCTGCGGCAATGCGGAGCGGCACGGCACCTGACATCATGCGGTGTGAGCATGCTTGTATAATGCCCACATGGACGAGGCGCATGCGTGGCTGTATCAGATGCGTGGAAGGACAGCTGCAAAAGCCGGCCTGCACGGGTGTCGTGCATGCTGGTCAGCTCAGCCTGGTATTGTGACTGGACATAACCCTGCTGACAAGCCGACCAACCTATTGTCGCAGGAGGCACACTACTGACAGGTACAGGGGTGCAGTGTGGAAAGAGGCGCATAATCAGGCAATGCCCAGAACTGCCTGCACCACACATAGCCGGGCCTCGGGCTATGGAAGCCTGCACGGCTGGTGGGGTCCCACCGGACGGCGTTTTGGATCGCCCAGCGGTGATGATGCACAAGCATCAGCTGCGCCTGACAAGCCTGCAAGCTGAACACCTGCTTTATACCATGTCAGCCTCAGTTGGTGCTTGCAAAACTGACAAGTGTCTGTCAGGCAAGGAGGTGAGGGTGGCTGCCGCCTTGGTCATGCTGGCACGCACCTCACGCAGTCAAGTGGTCGCACAATTCATGCACTGACGATGGCCAGCGCGCGTCAAGCGAGCAAGGTGCCAATCCTGACCCTGGCGCTTTCGAGGAAGCGTCACGTGCAATTCATGCACAAGCTGTAGCTGTAGCTGGAAACCCTACATGATCGTGTGATTCTAGTTGATGGTCCTCTTTATACCTGATTACGAGTTGTTCTTAAAATGGTGACAATGAGTTCTCAAACTGTGAAACAAAGAAGCGGTATGCGCCGCGGGGCCTGCGTCATGCCAGGCCGCCTGGTCTGGCACCTGCTCCACCCAAACGTTGGGCAGCTGGGGCAGCAGCCCTCACCATACCAAAACAGGTTGACCATGTGATAAAAAAAAACAGATGTGCAGCCTCAAAATCGGTGCAAGTGTGCCTTGGTAGACAACCACACAGGGACACCACGCTGCAAGTTCACACCCTCCGTCAGCTAGAGCTGCTGGGCATGTGCTGCATGCAGCACACAGAAGTGCCGTTGCGACTTGCCAACAGCACTCGCGTTGGCACTGCCCAGGGCAGCCGCTCACGATGCCACCATGCACATCGCCACGCTGCCCTGAGTCGTCACTCCAGGTGCGCCACCGCCATCGCCACCACTGATGAAGCTGCGCCGCGATGCCACCCCCACCGCAGCGCGCCAGCAGGCCCGCTCATGCCCGCTTGCCTGCCCAGGGCTGAGAGAACTGCTGCTGGGTGGCCCGCCACGCCGGGTCTGCGATGGCGTGGTCCAGGGCAGCGTACTGCTCGCGCACCGCCTCCAGGGCCGCGTCCGCCAGGAGGCGCTGCGCGGCCTCCTTGTCGCCGTCTGCGGCAGCGGTCACGGCGTCCACGTCGAGCTCCGGTGCGACAGAGATGCCCACGCCGGTGTAATTTGTGAGGCGGCGCTCCCCCAGGGCCTTGTCGATCGTGGGCGGCGGCGGCATGAGCTTCCAGCTCCACATAGCCATGGGGTAGAGGTGGCCCGGCTGCTTGGCGCGCGCCAGCAGGTTGCGCATCAGCTCCACGGCGCTGGGGTCAAAGGCGTCCGGGCGCCAGACGCCCTCGGCGTTGGGGCGATCGCGGCCGCCGCTGGGTGCGATCCACACCAGCTTGCCGCCCTCATTAAAGGCGCGCGCCATGGCTACGAGAGTGCGGCGGTTGGTCTCTTGCTTGGCGGCCTTGAGCTCCGGGATGTCGTCGAGGTGCTTCTTGGAGTGCACGCAGAAGAGGTTGCGACCCATGCTGAAGGGCTTGCACAGCGCGTCCGTCACCACGCGGTCCCCCGCCACGTAAATGACCTCCTGGGCCAGCCGTGGGTGCGTAGCCTCGGTCATGTGCGCGAAAACGCCGGGGTCGGCCTCGGTTTGGTGGTTGGCCAGCAGCACCACGTTGTGGCCCGCCGCCAGCTGCGCCTCGATCTCGTCCAGGCGCTCAGCGTTGCCCACGACACTGGAGCTGAAGTTGACGAGGCTGCCCACATAGCGCTGCCCAAAGTTGTAGTAGTCGTACGGCTCGAGGATGCGCGTGTGGAACGACGGGAAGGTGTAGGGGCTCACAAACTGCGCAAACACGACGTCCGCAATGGTCGCCTGGACGCGCGTCGCGAAGGCCTCATCGCAGCCGGGGTTGCCGCTGCTCGCAATGGCCGTGGAGTAGTTCTCGTAAAAGTCCTTGAACGACGCCACCACCCGCTCGGGGGCCTTGCCCGCCGCGACCAGTTGGTCCAGGATCCCAAAGAACTTGGCCTTGCTGTCCACGCTCGCCCACATGGGATTCAGGTGCTGCAGGTTTGCCTCCAGGTGGCTGCGCGCCTCCACGCTCGCCGAGCGCGCCACCGTGTTGCGCCTTGAGGTGGGGGCCGTGGCAGCGCCACACGCCGCCGGCAACGCGTGCGGCGCGCGGCAATGCTGCCGCGCTGTGCGCGAGGCCGGAACAGGATTTTCAGGCGGGCGTGCGCGGGGCGTGATGAGTTGACAATTAAGTATTCACGATCCCTTGTAATGGCATGGGAATGTGCAAGTCAAAGTGCCGCGCCTGCTGTGGGCTTGCTGCGACAGAGCATCGCAGGCAGAGGCTCCTCGCGGTGCTTGGGAATCCTTCCTGCCATCTCACGCTAACATCATACAATCAAGATCAAAAATGTGGCCCAATGGCTCGCCTGTGGTGCGCTGCGCGAACCCGAGCTGCATCGTGGAGGGTCCTCCGCCCTAGCTAAGCAAAGGGGTCAATCACGCGGATTCTGCCAGTAAAATAGAGCCCGACGCATCACGCGGCGAGTGAATCACGCAATGAATGTGCCTACGCTCCCAGCGCCGGCCAGCGGGCGCCTTCAGCACTTAGTCATCAGTTAACGATGTGGCAGGTGTGCCTGGTGCCACGCACACGGCCTACCGGTATCCACAAATCAAATGAAGATGTCGGGTCGAGTCTTTCGTTCTGCCGCTTGGATTTGTTCTGCAGCCTGGATTGTGTTGTCAAGCTCGCGCACAGTGATTTAGAGTCGCGCAGGGTCAATGCACTTGAATACGGAGGCTACGCGTAGTTGATTGTCCGGCTGCCTCCGGCCTGACTGCTGGTTGGCAGGGCGGAGCTCAGCTCTCTTGCAGGTGGCTCTGGCCGAGCCCAGCGCCCCCGTGGAGCGCCATCCGGCACGCAACTACAGCTGAGGGCGGAAGGCAGCTGAGGAACTCCAGAATGATTCTTTACAAGTGGGCGGGTGCTGAGTGCTGCCCAGAGGAGAGGAACGCGTTTGGTTCATTGGTCTTTGCCCACGCAGCACGAGCAGTCGGACACGTCGCAGCACGCGACGCCGCCTGTTGCCTGCGTCAGGCGCGCGGCCCTGTTCCCCACAAGCCTGCTTGACGGCCAGGCCTGTTGGATCTAGTGGCGCTGGTCCAGTGGCTGCTTCCCAGCATCGCTGTACGCTGCTGTGCATCCTTGGTTTTGCACCCCTACTATACTACACCGGAGGTTGCGCGATCCCTGTGGTGGCGCCGCTGCTGAACGCATCGGTGCATGCACTCTCCCCCTCACTGCAACCTCAGCAAAGACTGGTGGGGCTTGCTGCTTATCACCCGGGCGTATGGTGGGTGCTGCAGAGGCTGCAACGGCCTGGCAATGAGCTTGGCTTGCCTGTGCCCAAAACGTACTACGGCACCTACTCCGGCGCGTTATCCCGCATGACGACAGTACAAGCCTGCCCTCCAGAGTTCAGTCAATCAACCACTACACTGCACAGGCTCTGCTTTTCCTCGCGTGCTGCCACCGATGCTGCTGTCGGGCGCCCTCACTGCGGGTGAGGGCTGGTGGCACACCTCAGCCTCTGATGATCGCACACAAATGTGCGCCGACATAGGTGCACAGCTAGACCCAAGCAAGTGATGGGCATGAGCCAGTGAATGGGCTGAGCCTTCTGATTGCTGCGGTGTGTAAGTGGCTGCAAGAGTACACGCGTACTGTCGCACGCGGCCGCTGCTCGAACAAGCGCCGTCACCCACCACTCTACAGGCCTGGTGTGGAGCGGTGTGCGCGACGAGGTGGCGGCGTTCTGGGTCCATCCCTACATCTACTCCATCTTTGCAGGCGCGAGGAATCGTACTACAGGGTTGACAGGATATGGGTGAATTTTTGGCTGTGTGGCCAGCTCCATCGCGTGTCTGTGTCAAACTCTTACATGTTATCTTGCCCTCCTCCTGCATCTCATATAAACTCTGCAGCCATTTTGAGCTTCATCCTGGTGTTCAGGGCGCAGGTGTGTATGTGTGGGTGTTAGTGTTGGTGTTGGTGCGCGTGCAAGGGTGTGTGGGTGTGTGGGTTTTTGTGTGTGTGTGTGTGGGGGGGGGGCGTAAGGAGAAGAGGGAGGGGGCAATGGCTTCACGAGCTGTGGGCCTAGGGTTCATGCACGATGCCCCCAGTCTTGTTGGGTGAGGCTTGCAGACCACCTCACTGAAGCATCCACTCTCCGGCCCCGTTCCAAACCCGTTCCAAACCAACCAGTATGGATACGCTCGGTACTGGTGAGGGGGTGAGGAGGCTGTTTGAGGGAGCCGTACCAATGAGAGTTTGGCAGGGTGGTTGCTCGGGGTACCAGCTAGGGATGTGCCGTGCCATTGATGCTCTGCTTGCCTCCTGATTGAATCCCCAGGGAAGCGCGGACGCAGCTGCAAGTGCTGACAGCGCGATTGATGGATGCCGCCTCTCTGGTGAGCGTGGTTGGGAGAAAGGGGAAGGATCTCTTGGCTCTGCCAGTGATGCGCGGAACCAGGATGGGCCTCCCATCGCGCCGGCCAGCAACCTTCTCCACACTTGCCATATGCCTGATATGCCAGTTGCAATGCCGGTGTCAGACCTTTCATTCCCATCATCGACCCCCGCACAAGGTGATGGCGTTTGACCGACATACACTGCCAACTGGTGATGAGGAAGCGTTGGCCGCATCCGCCAACTTCACGGGCTTGGTGCTCCACCTCTGCAGCCTGCTGCATGCGACGTGCTGCCAGGCACTGCGGCGTGACCCCAACCTGGGGAACCTGTCTTTACACGGCACCAAGGAGCCACCCACCGTGAGTAGGGCTGTATGGCACAGGGTTTGGCCACCGATGTTGGGTGGCCTTCAAGAATGGCATAGTGCTGCCATGGGTAGCAGAAAAGCAGATATGTGCGCGCGGGTTTGCGCCAATGTTTGCGTGCAGGATACTTGATTTTTGATAACAAATCAAGGACTCCTGAACTGATTCACGCCGTGTGATGCCTGTTATCGCGTTGTGCTATCCTCTCCCATCCCTCCTCAGGACCCTCGTGAGTTGGTCCGCAGGCCCAGCTACGCGCATCTTGCCACTGCTGGCAGTGTGGGGCGCGCTCGACTAACGGACATGTTCGTGCTCAGAGGTGCGCAGTTCAGGCCTTGAGCAAGAGTCGGTGCACAGTGCATTTTGGAGTGACAAACATTTTGAATGCTGACATGCCGCAACCATACGGTGTGCGGGCTGCCTGCATAAGGCGGCCCTTGGTGGCTTGGCGTGACTCTGTGTGCTATGCTCCGCCCTGCGCACGGCCCCCCCATGCAGGCTCTGCGCGCGCCTTGGCCCAGTTCAACGCGGCCCAAAAGCTACCCGTCATTGGGGGCATTAGCCAGGTTGGTGGGGGAAAGCGGGATAACAGAAACGTCAGGAAATCGGGGGGCAGGTGGAGGCTGCGGTGGCTTGTAGGCGTGCGTGATGATGCTGCAGCATCGCGTATGGCCTGTCGCATCCACACTGGTTTTTGTGTTGCGCTGCTGGCGCGCAGGCGGAGTGGGCAGCCCTGGGGTGTCCTGCTGACCAAGGGGAGGAGACGCTCGCGTGGCCCAGCAGTGTCAAGGGCCGCACCAAGCGGTTTGTTCGCACCGTCAACACTAGCTGCTGCGCCGCCCACGTCACATACGTGAGGGCCTTGCAACCCGTGGGCCGGTGGACATTGCAGGGAACTAAAGCCGGGCTCTTTCAGGGTGCTGCAGCTCAACAAAGGGCCGGACCACTGGGCATGGCGCGAGCAGGGACAACCTGCGCTGCCGCATGGATGTCACAACACGCAGTCTTGTTTATGTACAATCTACACTCGTTCGCCACTTCTCACACGGTTCAACCCCTGCCAGATGGACCGACCCCACGTCGTGGCGGCGTGGCTGCAGGAGCTCCTGGTGAAGCGCAAGATGGAGGGGGGCCTCGCAGTGGCATCGCCTGTGCTGGCACGCGTCTACCAGGTAAACGCCTGCGAGCTGGGCGGCCCTGGCGCGGCCTGTCTCGGTGCTGACCTGGGGCGCCGCCTCAGTCTGGTCGACGCCCGCAACTACCAACTGGATTACCAACTAAATTAACC